CAACTGAAATATTGTTTGTCAAAAAAGTCTTGCGGTATTTTCGCTAGTTGGCGCTGAGAGCGCGTAGTTCTAGTTTTATTCGTCGCATCGGGTCAGCCTATAGCTTTTTGGAAAGCACATTTCACGCGCTAACACTTGTTTGATTGATTGTCGTTCTTTTAAGTCGTTCGTGAGTTATAGCGTCGCAAACATGGAGCAAAATAAAGAGGAAATACGGCATATTTTACAGTACTACTACGATAAAGGCAGAAATGCATCTCAAGCCGCCAATAAAATTTGTGCAGTTTATGGACCCGGTACAGTTTCCATTGCCACCGCACAACGATGGTTTCAATGTTTTCGTTCTGGTGTAGAGGTGGTCGAAGATGCGCCACGCTCCGGAAGGCCTGTCGTCGCAAATTGCGATAAAATCGTTGAATTGGTCGAAAGAGACCGGCATAGTAGCAGCCGTAGCACCGGTCAAGAGCTGGGCATGAGTCATCAAAAATAATTTTATGAACAGTAGAAAATGCAATAAAAATACCGCAAGAAATACCGCAAGACTTTTTTCACAACCTATTTTTAAAATAAAATCTAACTAAAGAATTAAAATATTTCAAGAAAAAACCAAAATAAACTTAAATATTAAAAAAAAAAAGTTTTCGAAATTTTTTTATATATAATATTTTCTGAGTTCTCTAATTCACCGAAAAAATAAAGAAGCTTGAAAGATGTGTATAAGAGACAGTATACAAATAAAAAATATGAGTAATAAAATAATTATAGGTGTCGTGCTCATTTTAATATCATATTTTACATGCCACAAAATTGAAATAATAATATCAGCAGATATATAATTTTAATCATTATCAAAAATAAAAAAATAATGGAGAAAAATAAAACAAAAAATGCTAAGAGTGCAGTGAAATGTTATAAAGAGGAATGAAAAAAGAAATGCATTTATTTATACTATGAAAAATTCAAGAAAAAAAGTAGTAAAATGCGTATAACAAAAACAAACCAAATATCAATAGAAATTGTTGAAAAAGTTTAAAGGTTTGATTTATAACGCAATTAGACTAAATTAATTAAATAAAGTACATTTACAAAGCAATAAGTTGTAAYAAAATGAGAAATTGAAACAAATTTTAAAAGAAGAACAAAGTAGTATGTACTAAAACAACAAAAAAGTGAAATAAATAAAAATTATTAACTTCAAAAACAAATTAATAAAAAATCTGTTTGTATATAGGTAAATTAATAAAATTAAAACTATAAAAAAAAATTATTAAAAACCGAAAACAGAAA